TTAGTAGTAGAATATTTTTTATAAAATATAATTATATTAGTTTAAAAACTATTTTTACTAGTAATACAAACTTATAATTTATATATATACTAAAATTTAATTATATAAAATAAATTACTAAGTAATTATATAGATATTAAATAGTTTTAGATATATTGTCACGATTATGCACGAGTAAGGTTATAGAGCTTCGCGGAGGTCTAGTTCAATTACTACGTAAGGTATTATAGTAGGTACAAGATGTTGTGTAAGGAATAGAAAAGTTTAGAAAGAAATTAGTAATTAAATACTTAGCTTAAAAGTCTAAGCGCTTTAAGTATAAATTAAGCCTATTCTAGGTTTAGTTAGTGTTAAGGCAGTTTATACTTAAGTTTATATCTATGTTATGTTATATTTATGTTAGATGTGCACTAATAATACTCTAGTATATGTCTAATACAGTTATGTCTAGGATCTAGAAAGGATACTGTAACAGTACTCCCCCCCTTATTAAAAAGGGAATCCTTTACATTAGTAGTTCTAGCATTAGGTTATCTTTATTAGAGTACAGGTTTAGTTTAGATAGGTATTAGGCGTAGAATTAGGTTACTATAAAGTTTTTTTATAAAGCTTCTGCAGGTTCTTATAACAGTTTATTATATCTAGTCTATTTTATAAGGTATTTATAGATATGTTTCTTTTTATTAAACTAGATTTATTTAATGTCTTCTATAACATATTTTAGTTTGTTATTTATAATAATAAGTTTAGGTAGCAGGTTTAGCTATCTAAGTAGATAGTTAGATTTAGAGGCTGCTTAGCGCAGCAATAATATATAGAACATAGGGTGTATCTTTATGCTGTTAGGTAGGATTAATTAGTAAGTATATAATAAGACTATATAGGCTACTATAAAGGGGCTAAGGTTCTTTTAATTAAGTTTCTTTAATTATTAGTTTATTTAGATATTTCTAGTGTCTAGCTAGACCTTCTTGCCAGCTGCATACGCAGGGGTGGGGGTTTAAGATTAGTTTATGTACTCTTATTAAAAAGCTTAAGCCTATGTAAGCTTTTTATAAACATATTTAAATATGTTTTAGATCTTATTAATAAGTTTATTTATGTCTATTACTTATATAAATTAATAAGTTAGTTAGAGGGTATTTATAAGTAGTTTAAATCCTATTTAGGAGTAGTATCTGTAGTTTGCTAAGAACAGGGATACTTATGTTAATTTAGATGTTATGTTATTAGCTTTAAACTATGCTATAGCTAACTATTTTACTTAGTTGTCCTACTAGTAGTTTGTGTACACTTATAAGACTTATTTTATTACAGCGTTTGTGTTCTTAGTCTAGCTGTTAGTCTCTAGGTAAAAAGCTGTAGATAGATAAGAGATAATTTAAAGCTATTTACAGAGTTTGTCCTAGAAGGCTAAGACAAACTGTGTACCTCTGTCTAATATAATTATGTTAGGCAGGCTATAGTAAACTTATATGTATTAGTAGAATAACTAGGCTATATTAGGGGCAGTTATAGAGGAACATAGTATTAAGTGTTAATACTTAGTTAAGTAATTAACAACTACTATAATATTTATATACCCTTTAGATAAGAGTAGGTTTATAATAAAATTAATTAATATGTCTTTCTAAGCTTGTTTAAAGATTAGAAGTAGTTTAAGTAAGCTATTATACTTTTTTTAAAAGGCTTTTACTTTACAGCAAGTATAGCAACATAATATGTATTAGCGTACAGTATAGAACATGCGGGGCTAGTAGTACTCTCTCTGTAGTAGGTTAAGAGTCTTTCCTCTGCTTAGGTGTCCTCTAACAGGCAAGTTGTGTACAATTTAGAGTAGTTTAATTCTTAGTTTATTAGAATTAGGGATTATAAGTTAGTTATAGTAATATAGCTTACTATTTTAGTTTTTATAGTTAGCTAGTGTTACCTTTTTTAACTAACTAGCGCTGTTTTAAAGCAGGTCTAAGGTTTCTTAAATAAATTTATTATTTAAATACTTATTAGTAATAATCTAATTAATTATCTAATCTATTTTATTTAAGTTAAGGTCTAAAAATAGCTTAAGTTAAAGTAAAGTTTAGTGTTAAGCCTTTTACACTTCTTTTTAAGTAGGGATGTTTTAGGATTACTTTATAAAAGCATCTAGTTTCCCTCTGTTTTAACTAAGATAATAAGTAATCTTAAAATTAAAACAAAATAAGTATTTAGACTAATAAGCTTATTAGTAGCTAAGTTATTTTATAGTTGCAAAGTACTGTAAGTTTTTATAGTTAGATAAGACCTGTATTAGATGCGCTGCACTTTTTAGTTTAAGTTATTATTATTTAAAGCAGCGTACTATAGTAAGTAATTTCTTGTTATAGATTTTATAATTACCTTCTGCAGGACTTATTCTTTTTAAAAAGTATGTAATAGGCCTAATAGTCCTATCTAGCTTAGTCTAGAAGAGAACTCCTGCTACTATATAGTCTAAGGCATTAGCTTCTACAAGTATTAGTAGTTTAGAGTTAAAGTAGCAGAGTATTAAAGCTTTAGTAAAGGCTTTCTTTAGCTAGTTAAAGGACTATTAGTAATTTAAGTTAAAGTTAAATTAAACCTTTTTTTTAGTAAGTGTAATTATAAGGCTTACTAGCTATAAAAAGTTATTAATAAATTATTAGTAAAAGTTAGTAAATTTTATAAAGGCTTAAATATTTTTTATGTTCTTTAGGTATTACTAATCTAGTACAGTCTAAACCTTAATAGGGTCTATTTAGATGCTATTTATAGAGATTACATATCCTAAATATGTAACCTTTAATTAGTAGAACTTGCATTTGTCTATGTTAAGTTGCAGACCTGCTTCTTCTATAGCCTTTAGTACTAGGCGTACATGCTGTTTGTGCTCTAAAAGGCTATTGCTGTAGATTAGAATATTATTAATATACATAGTGCAGAACACGTCTAGGTAGGGTTAGAGCAAGTTATTTATAAAATGTTAAAAAGTACTAAGCGTGTTAGCTAAGCTAAAGAGCATTACTAAGTACTTAAATAGTCTATATTAGGTCTAAAACACTATTAGCTACTTATTACCCTTTACTATCTTTAGCTTATTAAAGGCAGCAATAATATCTAACTTTATAAAATACTTTGCTTTACTTAGTTAGCTTAGGGTTTCCTATAAAAAAAAAATTAAGTATTAGTTTTTAATAATAATAGTGTTTAGTCCTTAGTAGTTAACATAGAATTAAAGCCTACTCTTAGGTTTCTTTATAAATAGTATAGGTAACGCTACTAGTAAGAAGCTAGCTTAAATAAAACCTTTTTTTAAGTTTTTATTAAAGTATTTTTAGAGCACTTTTAATTTATTTAGCAACATTCTATATAGTAGCCTATAACTAGGTTGTTTACTAGGCTTAAGAGTTATCTAGTAATTATACAGACATTATATTAAAAGCTTATTAAACTTATTTTAAAAAAAGACATATAATAAGTTATAGTAGTCTTAAGAGACTATTATCTTTAAGTTAGTATGTTTTTAAGAAGCTAAAGCTTAGTCTATATTAAAAATTATAACTGTGTAGATTTTATAATCTAGTTATTAAGCTAAAGTTATAAATAAAGTAGGTTCTATATAGCAGATGTCTATCTACTGTTTAAGTTCTAGTTTGTGTTTAAATTAGGTAAGTAAAAGTTTCTTAAAGGCTTTCTTTTTTTTAAGTTTAAGCAGTTATTAAATTATTTTATATAGCCTATCTTAGTAAAAGGCCTAGCTTATTAGCCTTACTTAGGTAGTTTTTCTCTAAGTTATTAAAAAGTAGGTCTAGAAATCTTCTATATTAAGTGCTATTTAGGTGTTATTTAGGTGTAAGTGTAAGTATATGTCTTAGTATTAAAAAAAGTTAAAGTTTAGAACTTACTCTTAGTAATTAAAGGCAACTTTATGCTAATATAGCTATAGTTATTCTAGGATTAAGTTATAACATCCTATGTTTATTACATAGAGTTTAATCTACTCCTTATAGTGTTAGTAGGTAATTATAATAGTTATAGTACAAAAAATAAAACTTTTTTTAAGTTATTTTTTATTAAATCTAGT